GATAGATTTAAATGATTCGAGACTGAAAGATCTTGTTTTTTTTTTTTTTTTTTTTAGATAAATTATGGAACATCTCTTATTTTAATAGACATTTACTTGACATTTAATTAATTGATAGGAAATTAGATTTCTAATCGTTGTGAACACTATGATATTTAAGATTCAAAAAAACAGGTCGGATTTCGCGCGCGCATTTAATTATGTTCAAATATTCAATGAGAAATTATGAAACTTAATTTATTAGTTTAAATTAAAAATTTCACTTTTTTAATATTAACATTATATTAACGAAAACTAATCATTTTTGTGATTGTCGCCATCATCATGTTTATCCGTCATGAGTTTAGTAATTTTGTTACGAAATTTTCTATCACCTAATTGCATTGGTGAGAGGATCTCAAGTCAGTTATTTGACATTATATGATATTTACTTCATTTTTTTAACGAGCTGCTAATGCATATTTATAGTGTTAAATGATGCAATTAGAATAAAGAAAATTTTCATGTTTAGAGAAATGTCTTAAAATTTTTGAAGTTGATAATGGATTTAAATAATAAGTTTATTTAATCCATTTAATTAATTATTTGAAAGGTTTATATATTTATAAATATATATAAAAATTATATTTATACAATTAAAATATATTATTTAACATATTCTGTTTATTTAACGCGAATAAATATATTTTATATAAATTATCAATTGTAAATTTAAATGTTTTGATATATCTTATATTATGTCTTCAGAAGCTATCTAGAAAGGAACGGCACTTCTCTCAACTATTTTCAGCGACAGTAACCGGTAAGGTAGCTTGGCACTTTTACATTTGCTGCTATAATAAAGATATTCCAACAAATCTCTGACTAAATAGAATAATTTCATTAAATCAAAATATTAAAATAATTATCTCTTTGATGATACTCTCTTCGTGAATATTTTATATAAGATCTAATACTTTAAATTAAGTTAACAATTACATTATAAATAAATGTCTTATGCAATAGTATAGAAATTAATGTAAAAAAATATAAAAAATATATTTTTATTTTATTATCGCAATCCTGAAATATATATCGTATAATATTTGTGTATTTTTATTATATTTCGATTGTTTATATCTGTACATTTCTATCATTTGTTGATAGTTTAATGTGTATTGTGGCTCGTAAAATTTATTTGTGATATATATACCGTGAGAGAATCTCTCTATCAGCTGTAGTTACTGCAGATCGTTACTATTTAAGCAACAATTTAACTTTAAAATTAATAGACATTAAATTGCATTGTGTGAACACGTGATAAGTGAAAGTAATGATGCAAACGCATCATGATCCACTTTGCACTCTTAGCGATTATGCGTTGATATTTGCAGAGGGTGATTTATTGCAATTGCTATCGTAAATGATAATTTCTTGTAATTTTTAGCCTAGAATATATAACAAGACTACTAGAGATCACAGTTTAAAATATTTACATCGTTACTCTTGAAATATGACTTCTTTCTTCGGAATAGTAAATTAGATTTATATAGATGTATTAATATAATAATATCGTAGATTTTTTTTGGAAATTCAATATTTTTAAGAAGTATTTTTTATAAAAAAAGCTTGTGAATTTTTGGAAATAGAGTGATTTTATGAAAGTATGCAAAATGTATATTATTATTTATAAATCTAATAAGTTAAATTACGAATAATTGCATTTTAATTTATTAGTTTTTACTTACTAATTATTGGATTTTATTTTGCTTATTGCATTTAATGTTATATTTTTACGATATAATAATTATATATATTTGTGATCGGTCATTATACGCCATAAGATAATGTTAGTGTCCTAGAATTAAGCAGGCCGCAGCGACATAATTAAAAGATTAAATAACAGATATAATCTCTCAGAACAATGTCGCTTCCTATTACTAGAATATGTCGTCTTTGCTATCTTATGTGCACTAGAAAGCATGTATATCTAGCAACGTAGCGAACTCGAGAGAGTGAAGGTAAAACTTATATATTAAAAATGTAAGAAAGTTTACGAGCATACAAAACACGTAGTTCCGTCATTATTAAGAGGACACTAATTACGAGCACGAGTTTGTGCACCAAGTCAATTAACATTAATCTATAGATATCGCGTTTATTAATAACATTTGATTTACAGATCTTTCTCTCTTCTGCCTTGAAAATAAATTGCCAACTTGTTAGTGATGTTTATAAGCAAACGTCTGAATAAATTTCAGATTCTAACCACAGCATGTTCTATCATCAACTATAGTTAAAGAGGCATATTCAAAGATATTGTTCTCATATATAATTAATCACGCAAGACTAATTTTTTAACTAGCCAGTCATGCGTGTCAGGAAAATTACTATTACTGTAACATTTACTATGTGATTTAAAAGCATATCCTAAACAGATTTTTCAGTAAATTATGCACAGTGTGAATATATCATCTCTTCATGTTTATCGCTATATAAATCTCCCATTTATGTCATAATCTAGATATCCGGAAGCGTGAAGTAGCTTCAAAGCCTACCGCGCGCGCTTCCGTTCTCGACTTCCTCATTCAACACGAGTATAATGAATTCTCGCAAATACTCATTTAGATTAATCTTAATACCGTCGTCACTATATGAAACGTCGAACTGTATTTTCTCGCGTTACAATGTTAACAAGCCATTTATGAGCGCAGATTTTTTTCCACACTACACTGCGTTTCTCCTGGCATATGCATTTTTAATGAAAAACTCGTCCTTTCAGACGATAAACTCTCTCTATATATATATATATATATATATATATATATATATACCTATATATATATTCGCGATTTATTTTGAAAAAAGTGCGAACAATAATTACGGGACCGCGAGTAACGACGTGTGGATTGTGCAGCTAATTAGAACTATGCGATTGCTGTCGAGCATTAAATATTTTTACACGCAAACGCGTTGGAAAATGATAATGAAGATCGGTGATCCACGGATCACGATTAGGATCGCGTGCACATTCGCGCGAAATTCATGTAAAACGACATGAAGCAATGCGAACATTATTTTCTCCTTGCGTTGGTGTTGGAAAATTCATCTTATATTCACTATCGTATTTACGATCGCATTTCAAAATGCATTTAAAATGCAAATTTAAATGCCTCACAACACACACCAGTATTTCTCTTTTATCTCTTTTATTTAGAGCACAAATGTTTTATCGTCTTTGAGTGAATAGAAATAAGAGATTGTTTCAGATAATATATGGTATGTTTACATTTACTATAATCAACTTAAGTGGCTCAATATGCAATTCAATTAAAAGCGACCATTAATAAAACGGTTTATATAATTTAGATATTAATATTATGTAAACTCTTTCATATTATTTTTAGTTATTAAACTGTTTAGATATTAAAAATAACTGAGTTCGTAAAATTCTATAACTCAATATCGATAAAAATATTTACGTAATTTGAAATTAATCGATGCATGTTGACTGTAATAGCAAGGTTTACTTCACAATATCTTAATCACCGCGAAATATCATGATTTTTGAAAAATATCAAGTCACTTTTTTTAGCAATTACCGTAACTAATCTTTCCATAGCAAGTTTCCGTATCGATGTAAAAAGGTCTTTGACACTTTTCACTTTCTGTACAGAACGTTATCTTCGAACGAAGCGGCGATGCATAGCACGAATTCTAGTTTACCGGGTTTGGATTCGTTTCCAAGTGACCGGTTATATATTTCCGGAAATAATCAATTCGTCATGCATTTATAATAGTAATATACGAGTAATACAGATTTCAGTATAAAGATGATTGAAAGACAAGTGGAAAGTAATTGAGTTACTTTTACTTTTATTTTCGGACAATCGCTTCTATGATATTCGATTTCAATGAAAACAATGTTTTTCGTGAATTTTATTTGATCTTTTTTATCAAATTTTTATCGAATTATCAGAGTAGTGTTAGTAGTTTTTCTTTTGATTTATGCAACAATGTCTATCGTTTCAAGATCATGGTTAGAGAACCGATCGAGAGAGGAATGTCAACATTCCATAAAAGAAGCGAGCGGTTCTTGCTACCGGAACAATAAATAAATGTCACTCCTTTACAGGTAAAGCTATTGGAATTAGCGCGTACTAGTATTTTTCCAGATGATTTTTACTGTTCCAAAAGGGACAGTTTCACTCGTGCGAGTAATGAGTAACGAAACGCGAAAGTGTTATCCCCTCTTGAAGAAGGCATTGCGTGCGCTTCTAGATCAGTAAAAACAACGCATTTGTGGCAACCGTTATATATAAGATGGTAAAAGTATGCAACTGATCTATTTACTCTTAACTCGAGCAAGGTGCTTGAAGATTTTTCCCAAGAGATTGTTCTATTATCTTGTTCAAGATGAGACATGTGGTACGTTATGCTGTTGAAAACGTTTAGTAATTTTTGTGATAATAAGTGTTGAAACTATGTCATTGTGCAGACGTTTTCTTTTGAATAGTGTTTGTGCCAAATTTCTTAAAAATATAATAAAATTTTGTTAAAGTGCGGTAGAAATTCTTATAAAATCATTATCATAAACATTTTTATTATTTTAGTTGTTCGTTTTATTCTTTCTATACTTTTTGCAATTTTGTAATGTTATTTCTGCTTTTATATGTTATTAGATTTTTATTTTACAAAAAATTTTATAAATAAAATAGAGAGTAAATAAGGAAAAAAATAATTTTTACTGATTGAAATGTTGATTTTCTCTCTTTTTCTTAAATAATCGATTTAATTTATATTGTATTTAAACAATTCGCACAAACTATATTAACAAAAATATTTTTAGTTTTACAATTAAATTTTACCTTTAGGAAAAGAATCTAGATATATATGCAAGTGTAACAATGTTTTTAAATAGTTTTATTTGTTTATTCTGCTCTTAAAAATGCAATAAATTTATAAAATTATTTGGGTTTTACTTGCAGGATTACACAATTTTATTTTCACTTTTTGTGACTATGGTGTCAACTTCTTCAATTTACAACAACTTCAATAAATATGTATATAAGTACAATAATCTACCTGCAGCACAACAAAGATATCAAATTATGCCTTTTCACATGAGGCACAATAGAGCTAATATTGGAGAAAGAAATACTTATATAAATGTACGCAAGAACAAATTAGATCAATCAAAAGATAATGAATGTAAGTATTCTGATGTTTTTTGATAAAATAAATGATGTAAGAGCTAATTTTTATTTAGTTGCAAAATCTTTTAGATGACTTGAAATTTAGCAATTAAAATTCGATAAAAATAGTAGTAAGCATGGAATATTAAAAAAAAGTGTTATTGCATATAACTATTTATTTTTATATAATTATATCTTATTATTTTATATTGTTTGAATTTACTTATTTAATATGTGTCTATTTTTTTACATATGTCATAATTAATTTTTAAAAATTAAATAAAATCTGTTTAAATAAAACAAAAAGATGATTAATAAATATATTAGAAGATAAGTAATAAAGATATTTAATTAATAATAATTTCAGTTTCAGGATCTCATGTATATTTGAAAAATGAACCTAAAAATGAGTACAAATTGCCAAATAATTATGGTTATGAATCGAAAGGTGGAGGAGGCGAACAAAACGTACACAATAATAAAGTGTTAGATCATCAAGTACACAAGAACGTGCATAAAACCATAACGATTTTAAAGAAAATCGCTGTACCGTATCCCGTAGAGAAAACTATCCAATATCCCGTGATTAAGAAAATATCGTACCCGGTTAAAGTACCCGTTGTGCAACCATACGCGGTTGAAAAGAAAATACCTTATCCGGTGAAGGTTCTCGTCAAAGTTCCCCTTAAAATTCCGCGACCGGTACCAGTCATCAAAAAGATCCCGTACCCGATTACGGTACCAGTGGATCGTCTTGTCCCGGTCAAAGTATACGTACCGAAACCGTATCCTATCGAGAAGAAGATACATTATGAAGTAAAGGTCCCGGTACCAAATCCATTTCCGATAGAACGGAAGATACCAGTACCGGTAAAGGTCCCGATACACGTACCTCAGCCATATCCAGTCGAGAAAGTCATTCATTACCCTGTGAAAATCACGGTGGATAAACCGATACCAGTCCCAATACCAAAGCCATATCCAATACCGATCGCGAAGCCGGTTCCGTATCCTGTCGAGAAACCGATTCCTATCCCGGTCAAAGTACACGTAGAAAGACCGGTACCAGTTCCGGTGGACAAGCCGGTGTTGCTCAAGGTAAAGATTCCCGTACCAGCACCGTATCCGGTCGAGAAAAAGGTACCGTATTTTGTAGAAAAATTTGTTCCTGTACCGGTAAAGATACCAGTGGAGAGGCCTATACCGATTAACGTGAATAAAGCGGTCGAATATCACATCGAAAAACCTATTCCTTATCCGATTAAGGTACCAGTCGCGGTGCCAATAGATAAGCAACAAATGGAGCATAATGGTGTATGGAATACAGTATACGAAAAATATCATCACTCATGAAAATATATTATTCAATAGACGTTAATAAAATCAGCTACTAGAGGCTTTGTGAATTGATTAATTTTTGTCAAACTGTGAATGTGTAATTTGATGATCGAAGAAACATTAATTTACAGGTATATATTTATATGTGCATATATCTCGTTTAATAATTTATATTAAAATTAAAAAATTTTAATATAAAATATTAAACTTTAATTTAAAATGTAGAACTATTAAATATAGTTGAATATTTATGACTTCTTGAGTGTTGGAACTTCTTGAAAAGAGAAACTTATTTACTTTATATGAATTTTTGTTACTTGAATACACGTGTATAAAGTTAAAATGTTGTTTTTTTAATTGTTATTATATTATCTTTTGTTATTAAATTTTATTTACACAATATGATGGAATTATTTTGATCATAGTACATGATTTTTCCACAAAAATATTGTAAGCTGTGAAAATAAATAATTGTTGTTAAATAAATTTATTTCCCTAAACAAACCTAATCACTATATTTCAAATTCTAAATATAACATAATTCGGTTAAAATAATTTCATGTAATTAATCAACTTAACTTTTATTTTTGATTACTATCACTTAACAATTTTACCCAAACAATTAACGCGTAAAAGAGGAAGGTAATTAAAGATAGGAACTGATATTCGAATCTAGTCTAATAAATGCCGACAATTAACTTCTTGCAACATTCATTTAAGTATCTCCCGCGTCAATCATTATAGTCTCTCTTTGTCGTCTATTTAATTCCAGTCACTTTCGCCGCGTCGTAATTACAGTAGTGAGACAAGGATTGTCGGGATGTAATTGATTTCTACAAAACAACAGTCGTTCAACGACATTGACCGTGATTCTGATTACGGAATGTTTATTTCTTCCGCAATCCCATAAGAAGTAGTCAATTGCACATAGCGTAAGTAGATTCATAATATATATTAAATTAAATTTTTAAAATAATGAATCGATCTAATTTTGTACTGCGATATTAATTGTTAATTACTCTTTTTATTTTATATAAATTGTAGATATACATGAATATCTGCAAAGTCTTAAAAATTAGTACTTTGTTAAAAATGTGTTGAACATACGAGATGTATGTACATATATTATAAAATATACGATTCTCTCTTTAATTTTGTAATCTTTTCATCACAAAGTAGAGAAACATCAGTTGTAATGAAAAATTGATGAGTGGGTAATAAAAAATAGATTTATAATACAAATTAATTAAAAATCTGAACTTTCAATGATTATCATAAATATATATACATGTTATATCTTTACTAGAGAAAAGCTGCCGGTTTATTGCAAAAAAAAAAATTAAGTTTTATACCGATAAATTTATAATTCACATATAATCTGTTGTACCTTTTACTTATATATGTGTATGATTGAAATATACTTGTATATATAAATCAATATACATATATTATGGACAGAGAAAGACATTTCAATTATTATGTACTTTAGATTTTTTTGTGAAACACTTCCAGGTGTGGAGTAGAATCTACAGTTAATGTTCTTATACGCGAAGCAATTACAGACATGTTGCTCTTATATCATACTATGGTTTTCTTTACGGTGACTGCAAAATTTACGAAATAAATGATTATAGTTCGCGTAATAAGTATATCTAAAGCGCCTCATGTTACGATTTCACTTAGATTCTTCCGCGTTATAAATGTACGGCTAGACGTGATTTGCGTATATTAATATTCGAGAAATTATATTAACATTATAATAAACAAACCTATACGCGACATGCATTTTTCTTACTGTTAATATGAAAAAAATGAAAGCGATAAAATAAATAGCGCTTAGTGCTGGAGCTGTCATTGTTCGAATGACGAAGGGTTTTTTTTCTTCGATTATATCTCCGGGAAGTATCAGAAGAAAGTTTCGAGAAGCGTGTAAGTTAAGTGGTGTACAACCGCTACCAAAGCGGGAAAGTTTTGTGCAGCTTCGAGAAGGTAAAATATGTGGAGAGCACTTTTACACCAGTTTCGGTTTCACTAGTGTTACTGATCCGAGAAATTCGATCGAATTATTTAATTTGCTATAAAAGAAAGTGTCGATCGTATCGTATCGAGCAATACACATGTTAATTGTTTGTAGAGACATATTAGTTTCTTTTGCATATATATAATGAGTTAATAAAAAGTTTTATCGTATCGAGTTAGCTAACGATTTTGCTATAAAGTGATTATTTAATACATAGCATGAGTAATATATTTTATTAATCTTATTATCTATTTATTACTTATAATATATTATTTTATATAAACTAAATATTTTTACGTAAAAAGATTTTATGAGATAAATATTAACTTTGATATTAGTAAAACTTTATGCAAGCAAAAAATAGTAAAATTTACATTATATTATGTAAATACATAAAAAATTTTTGTATTTGTTTTAGAAACAACTCTCGTAATTCAAACTGTTTACGCATTTCACGTTCTGTCTTAATTTTAAATAGCATAATCGCATGGTTCATGCTATTTAATATTTATATTCTATTTCTTCGAATGAATAGCATTTACAGTCGTAAAACAATGATAATCGTTTAAGCGTAGATAATTGTCACGAATAAAGCTATAAAGATTCTGCAAGGCTATAAAGGTCCAACTAGTTGAACTGGCGAAAGTGGTTTACGGTGTATAAATAATTGTAAGGCATCTTGTCGTTTAATTTCAGTGCAGGTCGATCTATCGTCTTGTTCGCAAAGGCATCATCATGGGACATAAGGTAAATATTTAGACTTTATAACATTATTATTAATGTTTCTTTGGTAATAAATGCTAAATTTATTCCGTTTAAATCCATACGACAAATTTAATTATTTTATTAATTGAATTAAATATTTAGAGATATTTGATTATAAATATAACATATCTCTTCTTCCAAAATAAAGAAAATAAAGATACTTTATTCAACAAAAGTAGAATAAATTTGACATTTATTATAAAAGAAAAATTAATAATAATAATTATAGAGTCAAACATTTATCTGATGTTCTGATGATTTGATCAATGATTATCAAATTGAAAAAATGTATAACATTGAATATTTTTATATTTCTACATCACGTATTTCTTTAAACAGCGGCAGTGTTTTATAGTATTTCTGTGTCTCGGTATCGCTCTTACATCATCAGCTAGTCGTAGAGAAGAACTCGAAAGGGCCGCGGAACTCGCAGTGGAAAAAGCAGCCGAAAGGGCAGCCGAGAGGGCAGCGGAGAAGTCTCTCGACGATGGAAATATCACTACGGAATCCGAGATTATTCGCGAGTCCTATTCCTATATCAGAAAAGATCCGCTAACAGAAAAAAAAAGAGTATGACGATTATGACAGATACAAACCAGTGAATGATGAAGAGGAGTCAGAAGAAGACGTGAAAAATCGAAGCACATATTCGCGAAGCTCAAAATTCGCACCTCAAGATATGAGAGCTAGAGATTTTCGTGCATCGTCTAGAATCGATTTTAGAAACACGTCGGATGTTAGGAGAAGATTTCCTAGAAGCAAATGGTCTCTCGAGGATATCAAGAATAATTTGAATGAAGAAATTGTGATTGTGGAGAAGAAGATACCGGTACCCGTGACGATCGAGAAGAAGATTCCGTATCCTATCTACGAGCATGTTCCGTACGAGATTAAAGTACCCGTACCGCAACCTTACACGGTGGAGAAAAGGGTGCCTTATCCCGTCAAGGTCTATGTAAATGTACCCGTCGAAGTGCCAGAGCCTTATTACGTCGAGAAACGAGTTCCTTACGCTGTGAAGATCGACAACCCCGTGCCGTATAAAATCGAAGTACCGATACCGCAACCGTACACGATTGAGACAAGAATTCCGGTGGAAGTAAAAGTGCCGGTACCGCAGCCATACACGGTCGACAAGCCGGTACCCTACAAGGTCAAAGTACCGGTCAAGGTACCGACCCCGTACGAGGTCGAGAAGAAAGTAGCGGTACCGGTGAAGGTCACCGTCGACCGACCATATCCGGTACCAGTGCCAAAACCGTATCCTGTAGAGATTACTAGACCGTATCCCGTGGAAGTGCCTAAACCATATCCAATCAAAATCAAAGTACCTGTAGAGAAACCGTATCCCGTGCCGGTGGAGAGGCCAGTTCCGGTAACCATTAAAGTTCCGGATCCTCGACCGTATATCGTGAAAAAACCCGTGCCGATAGAGGTAATAAAACCTTATTCCGTTCCGATTAAAGTACCGGTAGATAAACATTACGAGGTGTACGGAACGAAGCCGTTACTTGTTCCGGTGAAGAAGCCTTTTCCCTATATCGTACAAGAACCGGTTCCCATCAACCTCGATTGGAAGGATGAAGATGATATTAAGAACAAGGAAGATCTGATAGAAAGCGAAAACGTCAATTATGAATGGCAACAATCGCAATCATTAGATCGCGAATCATTCAAGCGATAATAAGCCGCGGATATGTGTATTGTATGCCACAAATAATTTATCATATTAATATTGGGAGAAAGACGTTGATTGATTTACATGATAATCGATAGCTTTATTTATAAATTTAAAATATTAAGTATATATTTTTTGTCACACTTGAGATTATCCTTTTGTTATTTTGTTACAAAACACATTGTTATATTTTTATTAATTCAATTATATATAGCAATATTATTTTTTAAGTGAATGCAAGTTTCACAAAATTTTTTTATTATATAAATAATTACATTACTTTTTTTAGTTAGTAAATAAAAATTAAATGTAGTTATGAAATTTTCTATAAATAATTTCATTAATTTATGAATAATTAATTTTCCTTTAAACGATTTATGTCTAAATAAAGTTGAAAAATGAAATATATAACTAAAACTATTTTCCTAATTAATCACATCACTTCCTTATTTGCAAGAGAGAATATGAATGATCGTAAAACTATCGTAATGCTTTTGTTATAAAATGTACATCAAATATTGCATTCCTTGTTAATGATATAATCAGAGAAAATAAAAGAGTCCTTTAGTTTGTTGTAATTTAAATAATGAAATTATGCACTAAATTTTGCGCTATATATACACATATGTATATATATGTATACTCTTGTTAATTAATAAAAAATTGTAACTGTGTCATCAAAAATAGTTCAGTATCATCAAAAATATTTAGAAACCTTAACTGTACTTTGTGGCCGACTTATTTAAGCATTTATTCACTTTTGTTCTCCTTCAGCAATAATTAGTTTCGCTAACTGCTTTTTCTTTTTTGTTCACTATATAGCTCTGTCAGAATGTAGCTTACAGATGTGTATCTACATATTTCTGAATATCAAATTAAGAATTAAGAATTCAGGCAAGAACTGTACTTTATATGAATATTTTAAGCGTTATAATTAAACACTATAATTTCATTTGATTGATTTTTATTATAGTTTATCTACCAATATTTCTTTTCATACGGAAATATTATTAAGAGAAATTGTTTCATTTCTAAATTCAAAATTTGTTATATTTCCATTTTTCACTTCTAAATAATTATTAAAATATTTCTAAATAATTAATATTAAATTAAATTGCTTTAAATTTTTGTTTTTATTTCTCGTTACTTTCTAAGCAATAATCTGATTAGCATATCTCTTAATTACGACGAGTAATTAAAAATTCTGTGCACATTTGAAATACAAACACAATTGCGCTCATTATCGCCGTAGATTTCTAAATATTATTCCTGGGTACCGTTTTCTTCCATTGTTTGTCCGAGTTTAACGTTTCTTATTTCGAGTCGCAAAAATCAGAAATTTACCGTACAACGCACCTAGTAAACGGCACATTATAATGCGGTCGATCTCACATCAACGCACATTCTAGAATTCATATCCTCTCTTTGCATCGCGCCGGCTGACTCTATCTCTCTTTCTCTCCTGTCCTGGACTTTTCACTTATTTCTCTCCTCCTACCCGGTCCTTCCTCTCGCTCTCTCCCTCGGATCACAAGAGAGACCGTTAGGTGTCGTCGTGTTCCTCGTCTCGGCCGAGAGAACCCGTATATACGAAGCGTTCGTCCTTTCGTGGGGACCGGATATGGAGAGGGAGAGTCCTGCCGGACTGCGATATACTAGCGAGAAACTTCCTCGAGATGTAAAACGACGGAAGGAGGAAGAGGGAGATTGAAAAGAGAAGGGAGATGATAGTAGGGGAGGAATGGAAACGTATCCAATGGCGTAGGTGAACGAGGCTAAACAGGATCAATCCTTACGTAGCTTCAACACAGGAGAATGTAAAATCAAATTAATACTCTCCACTAAATCTCTCAGAATATTTTCTTCGCAGTTGTGTTAATTCTTTTGCCAGAGAATTCTTTCACTCGTCAGTGTCTTGCAATTTTCCATTTATTTTTCAACATTTCCTTGAAGCTCGACCGTCTATTTATTTCGAAGGAAAATAAATTATGGAATAGTTCTTTTATGATAAATATATCTTGATTTTTCGAACATCCATTGTTAATAACTTCCGGTGTTCAATTTTCCACGGTTGCTACACCGTCAGATACGATTATGGAAGCACCGACGTTTGTGTGTGCCTAGAATTTATAAAAAAAAAAAAAGAAAAAAATGCCATAACGCTGTGTACGTCGGGCGAACGCCAGACGTGTGTTTCACTTTTCCGCGAGAGCGCAGAGGGGCTCGCTTAATACGCGTTGGGGGAAAGCGGACTATAAAGACGGTGGTACCTTGGGGGGAAACATCCAGTAAAGTCTGGACTTTAACCAGATCGTGAGAGACCTGGTAGACATGAGAATTTTGGTAAGTCACACAACGGGCGAAATTAGCTTCGATTGCTTTTGCAAATTAAATCGACTTAACTTTCTTGCTCGCATTATCTATTCCAGCTTAAGATTTCATTTGAAGCAAACGTTTCTAATAATTGCGCACTTCTTTTGTAAAGCAAATTAATCAATAAAAAATCTATCGGTATTTCTCCTTAATGTAAATCATGACAAGGTGTGATCAAAGTATAAAAATCGAGAAGTCAGCGTTTTATGTAATCGTTATTTGAAACCTTATTAATGACTGTGATCTAGCGCGTGAATAGTATTGCCTTTATGCATTCAAGAGATAAAGCATTGATGCCGTAAGCGGCTGACATAATCAATACGGCTCTTCTATCGATTGCAGTTTCTCACGTTATTAGCGGGGCTGTTGGCCTTGGCCGTGTGCGAGAAGGAGAAGCATATCACGTCTAAGAAGATTGCGTCAAGCGAGAATGCCGAAGGCCAGGAGAAGAAACAGGATAAGCGCGGCTTGAGTCATATCGAGGGAGATTTTGGGGGACACGACGAGGGCGGTTACGGTGGCGGCGATTATGGCGGAGGCGGTTTCGACGGTGGCCACGATTTTGGCGGAGACATCGGCGGTGGTGACATCGGCGGTCACGACCTTGGTGGATACGGCGGCGGCGGCGGCGGCGGCGGCGACCACGGTGGTTACGGCGGCGGTGGTTACGGCGGCGGCGGTGGTTACGGCGGCGGTGGCGGCGGCGGCGACGACGGCGGCAAGATCAAACAGATCACGATCGTGAAGACCGAAAAGGTACCCTATCCGGTCGAGAAGAAGGTTCACTACCCGGTAGAGAAGGAGGTACCGTATCCCGTGAAAGTACCAGTACCGCAACCGTATCCGATCGAGAAGAAGATACCGGTACCGGTAAAGGTATTCGTGAAGGTGCCGATTCACATACCGCAACCGTATCCTGTCGAGAAGAAGGTGCCCTATCCGGTACACATACCGGTAGAGAGACCAGTGCCCTACAAAGTATACGTGCCCCAGCCGTATCCAGTGGAGAAGAAGATACCGTATCCGGTGAAGGTACCAGTGCCTCAACCGTTCCCCGTGGAAAAGCCCGTGCCGTACACCGTCAAGGTTCCGGTACACGTGCCGCAACCCTTCCCCGTGGAAAAACCGGTACCGTACCCGGTGACAGTGCCCGTCGAACGACCTTATCCAGTACACGTAGTTAAACCGTATCCGGTCCCCGTCGAGAAACCCGTGCCCGTTCCGGTAGAAAAGAAGGTACCCTATCCGGTCAAAGTGCCCGTGGAGCGACCGGTGGCCGTACCCGTAGAGAAACCCGTGCCCGTTCACGTTAAGGTACCGGTACCGGCGCCGTATCCGGTGGAGAAACCGGTGCCTTACCCGGTCGAGAAGCCTGTGCCCTACGCCGTAAAAGTGCCTTACGATCGACCCGTGCCGGTTCACGTAACGAAGCCGGTAGCTGTGACGGTACCCAAAGCGGTACCGTATCCCGTCAAAGTGCCGGTGGCGGTACCAGTGCACGACCACCACGGGGGTGATTACGAGTCCAGCTTCGGGGGACACTCGGGATATTAATATTTAAAAAAGCATGACGGTGGAGGATTTTTCGTTTCACGGAGAAAAAAATTTATACGCTCGAAAGAGGAAAAGAAATACGATATAAATATATAGCTGCCGCGCTAAAGAGAATCTGTTAACTCGACTGATCAACATTGCGATCGAAATGTATATATAGTGTATATATTCGGAAATTAGATCACATTAGTGAGTTAACGCGTAAAGAAAAAAGAAAAAAAAGAAAATTCTCCACTGCATTGCACGAGCGGACGTATTGGCATCTATATGTATTACGGAACACATCTCGATAATATTTTTTCTGTCAACATTTGTCAACGCATTCGCACTCGACGAGAAAATAATGTAGAGGAACAGTGTGATTCGTAAAACGCGTTTGACGGCTGATTTTCCATTCACTCGGGAGAAGTTAACGAAGCGTTTTCTTTGCAAATGCGAGTCCGCGAGCGAAGGAAACGCGGACGTATTTATTTTATTAACTTAACAGAGTGTCGTCCTCTTTCTCGACGCGGAGAGAGAAAGAAAAATGAGTTTGCAGAACAGCCGTCTTTTGTGTGAAAAATGATTTTTTTTCAGGTGCCACGAGTCCGCGTAGACAGCGCTCTAACGATTTCCTTAGATATTATACATATATTATCGACTCTTACATATCTGTGAACACACGTTCTATTGTGTGTTTCTTTCGTAATGTGTAACATATGTCTTTTATAATATTGTACGATGTCTTTCGCTTCTTTTTAATAAAAAAAAACCAAAGAGCAAAAAACGAAAGTCTTGAGAAAAATTTATTTTATTTTGCCATATTCTACTATACGAAGAAGCCCGAATTGATTTGCGCTTATCTTTATATATGCTTTGTTGCCTTCTTCAATAAATTTCATACTATGCAATTTACCACTCTTGTATACTCCTTTCCCGTGAGCGAGAAAGTTAAGTTATGTATTAATTCCAAACAGATCTATCTAGATATGTTTATTTTTTTTATGATCGGTAAGTTAAATGATATAGATCAAATTTTATATTACGAGACAGACTTTTCCGCGTGCATTTTTCCTATCGGCATCAATATCCTTGAACTTCATGCAGCGTGACGAATTATTTATTTATCTTCGATCACGCGGGAATGTTCCTTTGTGACGGAGGCGATTGTACGATTTCTTGTTCCGGCAGAAAATAAGAAAAAGTAGAGCGGGCGAAAGTCATTCTCGCGATTTCGGTCGCTGAAAGACACCCGGAAAATTCGTGCCCGATAATTAAGCGCCGCAAAAGCCCCCTGTATGCGTAATTAATCTCGTGTGTACGGTCGATAAAAATGGAACTTTCTTTTATCTAGCATGACTAACGAAGAAAAGTGCATATACGTAATACTTCCGATTCGATAATATCAGCGTCTTGTTCTGTGCCTCGCGATCTATCATTTAGCATGTGGTTCTCAGGCATTATATATCTAATTCAACGCGCATCGTTTTAGCTAGAACGCGTAACGATATAGTCGGAGAAAGGATTTCCCGTCTCTCTTTCTCTTTCTCCCGATCTGCCAATGAGTAAATCATAAGAGGAGGAGATCGCGAGATCGAAAGTGAAATCGTTGATCTCGTGCATAAAGCACGCGGGCGCGGAAAATTGTTCGCAACGTAAGATTTCATTCACTTCGTATTGGAAACTTCACGTACGAAAGTACGTTTCAAATATAACAGGTGTTTTATCGAATCAACAAGATTAACTCGTTAAAATAATATATTCTGTATAAAATATACGCATTATCCAGTATATGAAATGGTACGATTGCAAAAGTATTGCTCTTCCTATCATTATTATCAATTTTTTTTCTACCTACCTAATTCTAATTACAGTAATTACTGAGATCGTTGAAGAAGATAAAAAATTAGACACACCAGCTAACAATCATTTTACGTCTACGCAAGACGATCGATTATTACGAGTGCGCAATTCAGAGATATTTAGAGAAGCAGAAACATAAGTGTGCAAAATAAAGTTGAATTACGAAACGGTACTTACCGTATGTACGGGATGTTGGCCGGGATGTGATACTTCGCACCTGGATCGAAATCGTCCTCGGATCTCAGTACCGGAGGTTTCGTTCCCGCGTATTGCTCCATCAGTCTATGCCAGTGACAATTGTATTCCTCTCTGTTGACGTAGCCGCGAGCAACGTCCCATCGCCATCTGTCCATCGCGATGCTGAAGGGTAGCATCACGAGTTTGTCCATTGCCAAGGAAAAGAGGTAGTTGATATCCGCGGAACGCTCGTCGATGAATTTATTTGCCAGACCCAGGGTTTGCAGGTGACGTGGCGTCGCGACGCTCAAAGAGACAGTTTCACCGACCGCCTCGTGAAATCCTGATAATTATATAATTTATATAATTATTAACAAGAGAATAATCAACTAAAATGCAGAGACCATAATCTGTTTTCTTCGAGAGATTATTATAAAACAATATAGTTATTAGTGGACTTATAAGAATGGATGTCAACGACGTCAGTTTACAGATTTATTTTACGATTTTTATTATTTAATAAATTATTCGCGATATCTTCCAAATGCGCGATAGAAGAGACAATGTATTTTAATTATTAATGCGTGAATTATAATTGTCTAGAAATTTTCTTTATGATTTAATGTATGCATAGTGTTGTCCATGAGAACATTTGCAGACGCTTTGAAAGAGTTCGGATGTTTGATAACCGAACGGTGAAAGTCGACGTCAGATGAAACAGATGGCTTGTCGCTTAGTTCCGTCTATGATTATTGCAAAGTTTCTCGAGGTTCTCCGGTCTATGCGGACAGCCCGGCGGCTTTTTGCGCACGATGTAATTTAGTGCTAACCAGGATGTAATTACAGTTTTGCACCGATAACTCGAGCGTGGCAGATGACGCTGATTATTTCTCTTTTTATCACATTTCCTTATGCAAATCGTACCCGACGATTGAAGGTATAATTAATAGGAACAATTTCGTAACTCAGCATTAGCGGTATTAATTAGACACTGTAAGTAGGAAAAACAGATGAAAAGAGAGATAAAAAACATATGTAATACAAACATAATTATATAAAAGTAGTAAAGGGTAAATATGTATTGAGATAAAAAAATTTACATCCTGGATAAAATAATGTGTGCATAAATAAAATTTATTTGAACGTGAATAATAATTTGAAAATAATTTTATATCTCTCGCGTGTATAAATAACGCGGATTTAACAAGCGGATGAAAGCGACAATCTGTCTTTCGCGAGAGAGATCGCTCGAAGATTTTATGCGAAATCGATCGAAGGCAAGGCCACGTCTGCGAAGCTGTTCTCGTTGCTTCGAAAACAATCTGTGTGTTCCGGTACAAGGCGAATGACCGGGCCTGGCCGACCGGCCGGCCGTTGCGACGGTGAAAGCGCGATTGCACTGTAATAAAAATATTTTAACATCCGACGCCAATGTACGCGAGTAACATCCACTCTATTCGCCTATTCGCGAGTAGTGTAATGCGCAGCATACACCTCGAGCGTATCGTTCCTCGCTCTCGCTTTCGCGCTATTAGCTGTAAAAGCACTACAAGTCGTAGGCCGTACCTACCGGAAGTCGGCCTAGGAACGAACGAATGCGTTTACGTAATGCGTGTCGTCTGTCCGAAGTGTTATATGCCATCACCGCTCTACCTATTTCCATCCTATTATCTTATAATCCGTCGCACGGATTTTTTCTTCCTGGCGTGATGCAATTGCATCCGTGATAAAAATCAGTTAACAGTAGATGTTGGCGTATCGTATTTTATAAAATTGTAGTATAGCTTTATGATACAATGCTAGTGCCTTCTTTTATGTTTATCTATTTATCATGAAAAAATATCAATATAATTTTGATTTTGTATTTAATTTAATGATTATTCCGTGTCGCAACAAAATTTTTTTTCTACTGTATGTGATTTACTTTTTATTTTATCCGTTTTCTAATTTTTTGATTTTATTATTTATAATAATTAAGAATAAAGATGAGTGTTGACATTTATGTATTATTTGATAAATTTAAATTTAAATTTACACGAGATACAAAATATATATAATTTTATGTGCATATTTTGACCATACATGTATTTATTTAATATCTTAATTCTTATAGAAAATATGTAGAACAGAATTAAAAATTCTAGATGTATTTTTTTACCTGGATTAGCGCCATCACGAAATTCACGAGGTAGACCGCTGTACCGTAAGAAATATTGAATGTGTCCCATCTCATGATGTAAAGTTATCAGATCCTTCATTGTCACTTTGGTACACATCTTAATCCTAAAATGATACATAAAAAAATATTAAAAATGTATTTCTTTGCGTTTTATAATTAATATAAATTTAACATTTATTTATCAAATTTTAAAATACTTTCAAAAGATTTCTTTATATCTTTTATGATTATGATGTTGTTTATAAGTTATATGTACATGCATATATTGTTAAATGAGTTTACCTGTAATCTATACGATTGCAAAAGTCCCACGCAGAGGCTTGGCAGATTAGTGGACGGTCACCTGGATCGGCGATTACACTTCCGGCCCAGAATTCCGGCGGCATAGCGCTCAAGTTCAAGGACAGATAAAATTCTTCCGCTACACGAATCATGTCAATCGGTGTGTAGCCCTACGCATAATAATATGCAATTTTTAAAAATCAAAATTTACTATATATTTAACAATTATTATTGTTAATTACATATATATGCTATCTTATAATAATAAAATAATAACACACACGAAATAAAATATTGATTGTAAAATTAGAAAAGTAAAGAGAGAAATTTTACTTGAGCTTGCATTTCCGGCGTGACATCAGGATATGTTTTTCCGGGATATGGTAGAGTAACATCCAAGAGATTGGTCCAAGATTGTCCCCATATGTTACCTATAATGAAAAATAATATATAATATAATTATATAGTAATAAACAATATTTGCATTTAAATAGTTTATTACAATTTAAAAGTTATGGGTGATTTCTTATAAAAATAATTGTATTTGAGTTATACACATATAATATTAAAATAATATAATATATAACGTTTTTATACCGAGGATGTGAGACGGAAGGGGCGCATGTCCGCCGATTTTTTCAGGACCATAAAGATCTCTCAACTTTCTGCGAACATAAGCTTGCAATTCTTCGTAAAGTGGACGTATCATTCCCAAGCTTCGTCAATATCTTGTTGGAAATTGGGAGACTGATAAGGAAACATCCAATATTCAGCGGCATCCGTAAAATCTAAAAAATAATAATGTAAACTTTTATATTATACGTAACATTTAGTCAGTGTTATTGTTATTTAATGCATAACTTAATTAACTATATATGTGACAACTGAATTATTTGTTTTTTAATTTCAGCGATAAAAGTTAAATTTTATTTAATTCGTCGCATTTTTGTGTCGCGAATTAATTAAACTTACTATTTAATCTTGCAGCATCATTATTCAATGTAACGAGCTGTTGATATAGATCCTTAATTGGTGTACCGCTTCGTCTTCTCCATTCGGTCCAGACGTATTGCAGTTCATCCCAGTCTCGACTCTTCGCCATAATTTGCGAGATATCTGTAATAACAGACGAAAAATGCAGTTGGTTAATGTTAAAGTTCATATTTTTTTTCTTTTACGCTGCTATTCTTGTACGAAATTTTTTTAGATTGTCGAATATTTTTTAACTGACGTTCATGTTTTAGTATCCACGGAAAGATTGATCGTGCAATTTTCCTTCTTGTTTTTATATACATAACAGATTTACATTAAAATCTGTGTATTTTAAATAGCACAAATATTACTAGATGTAAAGTGATCGCGACGTAACATTCATTTGTACAAAATGATGTACTGGATCATAAATTTCTGGATCGAGTCGCTTTAATTTACCCGTCCTCTTTCGGTCAAAACCCAAGTACGCTAATCAACATTTCGCCATGTGTCAGACGCATAAGTATAATTAAATTCCAATAAACCGTATTTAACTACGTATTCGCTTAATTAATTAATTATTCGCTTTCTACACGTGCCACGCGTGCGCACGCTCTACTGTGTCTCGAAATGATTATTTATTACGTGTCTAAATGGGCGTGCATACGGATTTACATTGCATGTAAAAATAACAGACAATTAGAGGCGCATATAGCGGCACAGAAGTCTTCATAAATTAACGGAAAAGGAGGGACTCCCTCGGACGCGTGCGCGCGTGACGTATTCTACTTCTTCACACTTTCATGCGCATTTTGGACTTACGTAAACTCTCCCGCGGAGTTTCGCCGCGGCTAACTACGAAACGCGGTGGCATCATATCGAATCGATTGTTATTCAGCGTAATCTATGATATATTACCTGGGTATAATCGCAGGCCACATCGGAAAGGATCGTTGTAAGCGCATATGGTGGCTCCATTATAAACCGCAAGCATGTCGTTGATTAAGCGGTTGTACTGCGTAAAAATAATTTTTTATTACATACTGTTCGTAATATATATATATATATATATATATAACGTGTATGTATTCTAAACATACTGCCAATTTAATATAAGCGCTGCAATATAACGACTCAACTATTTATATGAGCTATCAAATGAACGTTTACCCTGTCTAATTGATCAGGTGGAAGCGCCGAAGGACCCACGACGAATAAATAACGAAGCCGTCGTCTGATTATGGGGTCCTGAACAGAATCTATATTAATTCTGGAAATCAGAAGCCAAGCTTGATATTGGAAATCTGCATATAACCTTTGCGCATCCAGCTAAAAACATAATGTAAAATTAATATGATTAGAGGAATACTTAAAGTGTTTAAAAAGAAAAATGTCTTTATAATATTTATATAGAAAGAGACATATGTAAATAAATTATGCTAATTATTCATAGCATTATTTATAGTCAGTTTCAAATGACAAACATTATGTATTGTTATCATAATTGGATTTCTCATATAAAGTAACAGACAATTTAAAAAGAAAATATAAGTGTCATTGTGCAATTGTGTTACATTAATTACATGACGTAAGAAAATCTGTATGTAACTGATTAGGAAACGCAGTTGCAATAAAACGCAAAACAACGTTTTACCGTTAGAGATAAAGCCAGCATAGATAAAACGTATCTACTTCTGTCTTTTTGTGACAGTAACCTATTTTTAAAAAAATGTGATTAAGAAAGTGAAATTGTATTTGAGACTCTTTCTATATATGTAAATGTAAAGGTAATGTAGAAAAATATATAATATATTTATCAAAATTTTAATTATTAATTATAATATATTGTTTTGAGAATCAAATATGTACTTAGTTGAATTATATAGATTTATTGTTATATAAGGAAGCAAGATGACTAGATAATATGTAAACGCAAATTACAGTTGTCTATATATTATATGTCACGTGGCAGATTTCCAGATAGCATGTCAGCAAGCACTTATAGACAAAACTTAAGCAAATATCGTGTAACAAGCGCAACATATTTCTATCATCATCATGTGGGTGTGTGCAATCTATCAATATTCTAAGAAAAAATGTATAACGAATAAATCCTTAACAGTTTCTATAATTGCGTTGTCTATATTGGTACAAAATTTAATCGGTTGAAAAATAATTGCAATGACTGTTACTTCCCATGCGATAATGAGGAAGATGGTGATTCGCCGTACGTCAACATTTTTAGTCACGGAAAAGGAAAGCAGTATCTCGATTATTGTTAACGTCACGCGACGTAAGCTTGGTTGGGTTTTGCATTGAAAAGTACAAAATTCCCGTTTCTCGAGACGGCTGGGCGATTGCAAAATCGTTCAGGACGACTATCGCGACAATGCCATCGCCTGGGAAAATTTCTCAGGACGTTCGGTCTTTCGTGGACAATACGAAAGTCTCGTGTCAGGGAAAATTGTGATCGCGATGCGCCTACAAAATAGCGCCAGTGCTTCGCCGACCGATGGACAAGTCAATGCATTGTGCAGACATCGCGAAAAATCGCACGAGAGGATACCGAGAGGAGGTCGAGGTCCCTTTGGAGACGTTTCATAGGGTGGATGAGAAACTTATACGATTGTATTGCGACTTCTTTTCCACGATTATTACTGCACTTTGTTCTAGTGTTGAAAGCTCAACGCCTTTTTCAACTTTTACCTTCATAATTGCATATCTACATATTCTTCGGTTGTAATTTGTTTTCATTTCAATCTATGCATTTTTATTTCAGTAATGAATATCAGAATAAACATTTTTTTTTATTTTTACATATCTCTTTAAGCTTTAATTTATAACTATAAATATAGATTATTACTATTTTAACACGAGAGAAAATTATGTATCATCTTAAGTTCTTGGATTTAAAAAGTATTAATTTTAATACAAAAATATAATTTCTCTTAATGATGCGAAGAGAATAATTTTGTTGAATCGCCGGAAGATTTGTATTACATTGTATTGTAAGATGGCCTAAATTGCAAATAGAGGGCTACAAATACATGCGGGTTACTACCGAAAAGTTTCGAAATTTGTTAGCCTAATTAATGGAAAAAGTTGAGAGTACGAGAAACTGCGACGTGATAAACTTCTTATTTAAGGAGGACAATGAAGCGTAATGAATAGAAAAATAATGCTTTCTAAAATAGATTTAACTGTCTTAATCTTACCGCTTGCAGCTGCGTATATTCGTTGACATTGGTTTCGTACGCCCACTGAGCTATTACGTTGGCGCTGCATCTCTCGGCACCGAGGAAGTCTAATCTAGCTAAGATATTTCGATAATCTAATTCATTGGAAGGAATTTGTCGACCAATATCTTGGTCAACGTCCCTGTATGGCGGTAAGTCTAACTGACCGAAAACTATCGGTACCAGGCAGAGTACGAACGCTGTCCATCTTATCTAAAATCATAAATATTGATTAATTTTGTGTATTTTCTAATAAAAATTAAATTGAAGGCAAATTATATTAAGATGGCAAACTCCAGTTATGACTTCATTAATTTTAAATTAATAATAAAGTATTGAGAGTAGGGCAAAATATCTGTTGTTGGACGATGTGTCAAATTCAAATGTCTTTTTCTAAAATTACATTTATTTTAATTAAATCCTTTGCAAATTTTATATTGAATTTTCTATTATAATAAATTTTCATTTATTATTTTATTTTTATTTGTACATATTGTTCAGTATACATTCTAAATATTCCTCTGAATATTCTCATAATGGCGATGTGAATAATACATTTGAAAAAATGGTCAATATTAAAGATGTATATCTGCAAAGTTGTTTGACCTTAAGGTCAGTTATCCTGTCCTAAAATAATTCGCAAGATCGATGAACTTGACCATTATGTATGTTGTTGATTGATATTGTTTCCAAGGCTACAAGATTGTGGATGTAATTAAATACGTGTGTTTTACTTGTCCATCACTTTTTGCCTATTGCGTGTCGTTCGAAAATATTTAGACTAGTATCGTTATTCGACGTTTTGCGTGTGAATATGAATGGAGAGTAAAAGAAAAGTATTTTTCACAGTAAGTCTTCTAAGGCTTTTACGAAGATTTACAATGAAATTTTACTAATACCATGATACTGCCGTAATATTCTATATCCTATATAATCAACATTATTGTAAAAGAAATAATATTCGAATGATAATTCCTTTATAATTCACAAATTTCCATGTTTTTCTTCTTATAATCATGTTATTTTTATAATTATAATACATAAATAAAGACTTGAATCATTTTAAGATTGCCCGAATACGTCATTTAAATTTGAAAATAATTAGTACCGACAAATAAAAAGACAATTTCATCAATTGTTTCAAAAGTTGTTAATATCATTATAAGAGTATCTCGTGCAATCTAATGATTTGTGTAATATTGAGTTCAGTTTTCTGTTGCAATATAACAATTATAAACATTTTGCAAAATGATGATCCTTGCATCATGGATTACCGTGCCAGAAATTACCATGAAAATTATTATGGTACATGTCTTACGAGTTAATATAGGAACCTCATTGTTTCTTTAAATCACGCCATGACATTATGAGCAAAGCATTTACGCGCAATTCATTTGTTGGTCTCACGGTCACGTGTTACGTCTTCGCGTTACGTACTTCCTTTCAGCATGAAAGGTACCTGCTTATGCACAGTAGTAGGTCATCTGCGATTGATCGAGATGTGATGACCTTGGTTTCATCTGCGCTTATTGTGGAATAAATATTTCATATTCTTACTCTTTAACTTGCAACTGACTACATAAAAATATAGTATGTTGTTTTGACAAAAATAAGTTCCTTAATGTTTCTGTTAAAATAAATGCATTTTAATATTGTTTGGGCAAATTGTTATATTTTGATAAAATTTTTATTAACGTATCTAAAGTTTATGTACATTATTTGAGAATATACTTGCATGAAAATTAAAATAAAATAATTACCGTGTAAAATCAAATAATTATAAGATTTAAGTATGACGCATTGGAATTTTTAATTAATAAAGATAATTTATGAGCATCAAAGCATTTAAGCAAAATTGCATTTATTTTATAAACATTTTGTGCAAAATATATTTAATTTATTGCAAACGTAATTATTCTTCTGAGATACACAAAAGTTATATACACTATAATTCAAATATACAATAATATCAAAATTAAATATTCCTAATTAATTCCATAATTACTGAAAATCAAAACGTATTTTAAATACGTATTGACTAAATAATATTAACAATCTTGCATTTAATTGACAATAAATAGTAACAAACTTTTTATAAATTTCGGAGAAATAAGAAGATATAAGTATACATATATCTATATGTATATTAAATATTAATTAGATAAAAATTATAAAAATAGATATGACAATTAGATAATTAAACATTAATTTAATTAAATAATTAGATGTTATGCAAAGTACAAGTTTCTTTAATATGTCTTGTATGAATATATGAATGATAGATAATAAAATTGCATATGTTTACATCACAAAGTATCTGATTACTCTTACATAATATATACTCAAAACTGCTGTGTGAAAAGGGTTGACACAGTTTTGAACACTAGATTCGTTTATCTTCTCACTATTTAAGTGTCTAATTTACTTAATCACGCGTTAATTTCGCGAATTAGATTAGACATCCACCATATTACTTTGAACAGTAGAAGGAGCACACTTATTATTTTGATGTGGGTGCAGCATCTTTCTTTATTATTCACATCTCCCGTAATTTTTGTCAGAATCTTCAAATTTGATGAATTATCATTAATAAGAAATTATACAACTTTCCAGGATACAAAGATCACGTTATTTATCCATCAAAATGAAATCTGGATAACAATTGCAGTCTTCTAGCATTAAAATCTGTATCACTAATCGAAATAGTCACATTGATGAAGACTTACGAAGCTTCCGCTGGTCCGACCTAACATCTTGCCGGTTTCACTGAAGGTAAATTCCATGTGTCTTAAAATTAGACCTGATTTTGATTCTCGATAATGATCATTTACGATCAATCAATTTCGCGGGTGCGCGCAACGACGTCGCCGTCGTACGAAATTCCGTTCCACCGATCGAGCACGACTAACACGAGCGACGATTTCGTTCTGCCGACACTAAAAGCCTCGTGGAAGACGTCAAGTGTACATTTATCCCTGCGAAGCTGTTCGAACGCGACCACGGGGAGGTCATCCGTAGCAAAAGAAGTGGGGAATTTGCGTATACCTCATTCGTGTCGTTAGGTTGTCGGTGTCGCTACTGCTCAAACGGATAGTCGTGGGAGTAAGTGGAAGTAACCGAGGACGAAGAGGAAGACGAAGAGTTACTATGGCATATGACGTGCGAAAGAAAATAAGGAATGAAACGATGTTTGAATAAGGAATAAGGTGACAGACAACACGGGAAAATAATGTCTAAAAATAGATGACGCGGTAGAATTTTTCTTTACAAGTATAAAAATCGGCGGGAACTTTTTCGTTAAAAGGAGTGTCGAAGAAAACGGAAAAAGCAAATAAAAATGATAAATAAATAAAAAAGCGCCAAGTAAGGATGAGAGAGAAAGAGAGTGGGTCGATAGGAGTCGAGAGCCAACCCACTGCCGATTGCGACAACCTGAGGCTCTCACGTTGACAAGAGTCAGTCGTCGACTCTTCTCAACAAGACCTATTGTCTCATCGGAATGCAAGTCTGCACGTCGTAACTTTGCAAAAATTTCAGTCTTCGAAGTTAATAGAAAAGATTAGTGCGTTCAGAAAAATTTATTCAGAATAAAAATTATAAATTCTTGGCGGTCACGATAAAATTCAAACAACTATATCAAGAGTTTGATAGATGTATTTATAATGATAATTAAATGGAAATTTTGCAGCAATTTATTCTTGAAGACTTGCATCTAAAAAAATTATTTAAATCATGTTATTGAATGAAAAAAATCACGTTGATATATTTTTTAGGTAACTGAGAAATGAAGATTTGATCTTTTATCACTAAAGTAATAAAAAATTCTTGACCATTATTTAGTTTGCAAATTATTTGTAAGTTATTAAATTTTAAATCGGCCAATAGAGCCCAAACGCGAAAAATTAATTCTTCGGAACTGTATCTCTTGGTTTGAGATTACTAAGTTCCATATATAAATTAATCTCGAACTTACATATGGAGAAAACGGCTATTGGCCGATTTAAAATATCATATATTATTCTTAAGTCATCCATTTTTAGACATTATTTTCCCGTATTGTCTGTCACCTTATTCCTTATTCAAACATCGTTTCATTCCTTATTTTCTTTCGCACGTCATATGCCGTAGTAACTCTTATAAATTATTATTCTCTATTTTTCTCGCCTATTTTTCTCCATATGTAAGTTCGAGATTAATTTATATATGGAACTTAGTAATCTCAAACCAAGAGATACAGTTCCGAAGAATTAATTTTTCGCGCTTGGGCTCTATTGGCCGATTTAAAATTCATGTATTATTATTATTAATAATATTGAGAGCCGACATATATTTCTTATCTGATTATTCTTAAGATTGAGAGCCGATAAAAATATTTCTCATTTAATTTTATTAAATTTCGTTTGTTTAAAATATTACTAAATATAATTGTATGATATATCTTATATAAATAATATAGATAATTATGCGATTAATTTCATTGGATTATTCTGATATTAAACTAAACGCTCGAAATCGATAATTAACAATGAATCAATAATGACAAAAAAATGAATGAGGTTGCAGAAATCGTGTGAATGGTAATACTGCCTACGATTCATTGATGAGTCGGAAGGGCGTGTTTATATGAAACATCGATAAACAGGTTCCGCGAAGCATTAACTTAAAACTGACTCTCTTGCAATTTCTAGCATTTTGAGATGACTCACAACTTACGAGTCTATCCGCGTAATTATGCTTAATCTCATCGAGATTACGACGTACGCGTGCTGTTTCCTGATTCCAATCGACCTTTCTTTCTCCTGGGAACCTGGGAACTATGTTAAAACTCAAGAAGAAACCTAACAATACAGAAAAGGATAGGCGAATCGCTCAACTGAATTCATGCATTTAATGCATTATTAATAATAATTGAATCTTTTAACTAATCGCATCTATTGCGTTCATCGAACAAAGAATTCATCTTAACGCTAGGGAACGTCATTCCGGATGTTATGCGTCACAAATTTAAAAAAATATGTAAATTATTTGTAATACATGCGTATCGATTCGTCATACATGTACGTATATGCGTATTATAGTGTATAAACGTAGATATGAATCGGTTCACATATGTATTGTACAAATGTTTCTCGCCATATGCGTTCGCTCTCTGGCTGATCTTGAACTACATGTTCCACTTCGCTTTCATGATCGGCGCTCTCTTTAACAGCCTTACACTGACCACATCCTTACGGATAACATGATTGTGATTAATATGACAGCGGTTTGCAGTAGTAAAAAGTATAAACAACCACGCCCAATCGACTGCTGATGCTTGAGAGACGATAGTCTCACGATGATCTGGAATGTTTGTAACTGCAAGTGGTCACTTTACCAGACCTTGAATTGTTATGGCAAAGTTCTTATGTATCTGCATATTCCGTACCGTATAGCGCCGCTGTATATAAATATCTGTTTACATAACACATTTATGTGTTTATATGCTCGCGAATATTATATAATATAATATAGAAAAATATATGATTCATGTAATTTATTCTTAGAACAAATTCTCTAGATTCAACTTTTCTGAACATGTATCTTTTATTTCACATTGAGCTGGAACAAAAATTTCTAGCACTTATTTATTACTTAGTTTTATTACAAACCTTTTGTGCTTGATAAATTTTTTTAACGCGGTGATGCGCTTGATGGGTCTAACAGACTCGAAAGTTTAAAAATAAGTATATCCTGATAATCAACAATTTTGTCTTATTATTTTTCTCTACTTGCAATTCTCTTAAAAATTAAATTTTATTATATATAATATATGATTAATAAAATTTCAAGTTTTATTAATTTTTTTTAAGTTTGTGTTCAGTTTTTTAAATATTTTTTTAAATTAAAAATAATAATAATGATAATTTTGTATACGAAAGATGCGGTGATTAGGTCAAGGCAAGTTTTACCCCATAAAATGAAGTCAACACATACGCCCTGGAATTACGCCTTCAATGCCATTCACATTGGTGTTATATTCGCACAGGTATCTCATTTAAAAGCATATGTGTGCCGAGACTTCGCTAATGCTAATCTCATTGGCAGATAATGCGAGCATCGGTCTCACGTACCGACCTAAAGTCTAGGTTCAAGTACGTACGAAGATAGCATTTGCCATATATTTATACAATGCAATTACATGTTTCCTGCGATTCTTTTTGTCATTTTTGGTCGAATCTTAATCATTATCTTAGGCATTGTAGCATAAAAGAACAGACGAACAAAGAAAAGAAAGATGACGTTACATTAATATTTGCGCAACTTGTCGAACTCTAATGCTAATTTAAGTGACACAGACAAGGAATTGACGGAAATGCATTGAATGTTGTTCCGGTACTTTCGATCATTGTTATTCATATATACAGTTGTTCTCCAATTTCTTTTCCTCAAAACGGTTAAGCGTTCATTAAGATTTTGGTTCTATAAATACAATCTTTTCTGTTTCATTGACGTCAGTTATTCTCTTTCATTGTTGTATCATTTCTATTTTTAACGATAAAATCTGTACTATTCAATCTATATCTGTAAAATTTAGATGAAAACTCAAATTAATACAATAATCATAAAAAGCTTCTTAAGAAAAAAACTTGCAGTTATACTTATTAAAAATTATAAAAATTAATTTTTAAATTTACTTGCCATTTTTAAAAATATATCTTTAAAATATTTTACAATTTTTTCATCTTTATTTTACAACAGTATCTAATTTCTAAATAAAATTTATATAAAAATATAGGCAAAATTAATGTGAGTTTAATTTAATTGTATTACAATATAAAAATAAAGAGAAAAGGAAATAATCATTATTGCCATTTTTTACGGTATTTTCTTTTTGGAGTTTTCCTTTGTAAAGCCTTGGAGTTATAGATTTTCTTTTTGGAGTTTACCTTTTTAAAGCTTCGGAGTTAATAAGGTGTATATATTTCTATGAAACTAATATAAATTTTTTATGTATATCATATTTATGGTATATATTATCACACGATAAAACAATGTGATAGTAATGCATACCGATAATTATTTATCTGTTGGCGTTGAGGGAACGTGGGAAAGTGTCGGATGCGTAACCGGTATTACGCAAACTCTGTTAAGAATTATGCAGAGCAAAGTGCGACAAAACATAGAAGGAAGATTATCCAAGTAACCGACAAATTACATCATTTACTTTTTTTTTATATTTTATTATCAAACGGAGAATCACTTTATTAATACTTTTTATATTTTTAAACACACTTTTATTTTTAGAGAATTTTAATCATTAGCAACAAAAATTAATTTCTTCATAATTTTAGGATCGAGTATATCGTTACGTTATGTCGCGTGTTTTTAAGTATTTCTTTAGAGGACTATTTTATTAATATTTTATTATATTTTTGAATATATTATTTTATTTTATTACAAGTTTTAATCTTTAGTGAAAATCGTGAGTGCCTCACTCAATGTTTTCCTTCAACGAGTAATGCAAAAATAATATTATAACAAGCAAGCCGTGCAGAGAAACAAATTACGATTTCCGTGATGCGGTAAAATTGATTTCATGAACTCAATCGTGAATAACAATAAGAAATTGCCTTGATTACAGGTTGTTCTTCAAGGTAATTTCGCTGACTATGACCGAGAAATAAATAAAGCGGAAATATAAAACGCATTTAGCGTATTACATAAATGGTTTTACTTTAAATAAATCATCAGCTGCAAAAATTACGTATGCTAGTCTTATATTGCGTTAAGTTCTACCGACAAAGCACTTGTGTAAAGTGCAATCGAGAAAACAAGACTATAAAATATGTGCAATGTGTTTTTACATGCTATTTCTATCTTGTCGCATTTAGAATGCAAATGAAGATGCGCAGAATGTTTCTTTGCAAACGGTTATGGCAGATTATTAATCTTTCTGTTGGATCTCGATTTTACAAATAAAGCGGAAAGAATTTAACGTAAGATCATAGC